ACCCCAGTTCTGTATGTACAAATAAATAAATCTTTAAAAAAAAATCACCCTTAAACACATTAAAAAAGAAAAAAATCAGCCTAATAAAATACCAGAAGCCTAGAAATTATAGCAGCCATTACATATTTAATAGCAAATAGTTACTAATTCATTTTAATTATTCATTAACTAATCAATATTAATTTACGCATACAAATTCTAGAGTTGATTCTACTGCATGGTATATTTCTTATGATAGCCATAAAATCAAGTTGAAAAGGAGGGAAGGAAACTTAATTGTGTAACTTCTTTATGTTGGTTACTTCCCTCACTACGAGATCTTCTCAATTTAACTTGTGATACAGGCATTTTACAGACAAGAAGGCTGAGATTATGGAAATTAAATACTTTTGCCTGAAGTCATACAGTCTATCAGTTTAAGTAACTGAGCTAGAAACTAAAAATAGGATCGCCTGAGTCCTAAGTATGCGTTCCCCACCATGTTATATAGATTTTGAGAAAGTCTCCAAGGAACCTCAAGTTTATAATGGAACATAAATCATATAGGTAAATAGTAATAAAAGTAAAAAGTAGTAACTGTCATGACAAACAAATCACTCAAGTATTGTGAAATTCAGAGAGGAAAGATTGCTATGGGTTAAATAAAGACTGGCTTCTGAACTGGACCCTACAGGATGAAGAGTTAGCCCTGTGGAAACATAGTGAAGTAGTATCCAGCTAAACCAAGACTGGGAGGTGGGAAGATAGAAGGTTCATACTAAAATATTATGATAAATAATATAAATGATTTAAAGTAGGGGCAAGACTAGTAACAAAAGATAGAGCTAGAAAGACTATCTAGGAAAAGTCTAACTACCAAGCATTTGTGAATAAACAAGTGAGACTAATTTTCCTACATCCCTCAGATTCTACTTGTTAAACAATCAATTTCTTAAATACTCTGATTGCCTTCATTTCACTTACCTTCTATTTTAATGGCTTATTAGTATATGACCTATTCCTTAAATTTTTCTGTTGGAAATAACTTAAGATCTACTAATCACAAGTGTTAATCATTTCCCTTTTGATTATAACTTAGGCCTTCATAAGAATTCAAGTTTGTTGACCACTTGCTGTCTCAGACATAGCACCATGCTAGAACACCTCTTATGTTTTTGATATTTTTTCTTTCCACTAGATTGACTCTTTCATCTCTTGCTTCTCTTATTTAAGTGTGTCTCAGGAATCTAATCTAAAGCCTCACCACTACCCCTTCTTCCCTCTCTCCAGAAATGTCTTCCACACTCATCTACTTTAAGGAAGTCACTGTATAAAATCAAGATTGTTGACTCAATGCTTAGTAGACATTTCTTACTTTCCTACAGAATGACATTTCTGTAAACTTCATGCACTATCCCACAAATGCAACTAATTTACCATTTTAAAAGCAGACTGATCGGTTTGACTCCTTAAAAACACCACCTTATTTCTAGCTTTCCAATTTTTGATAAAGTCTCCATAATATTGGTTGTCAAGCCCACCTTGTAGCATTAGTCCTTTGCTTTCCACAATTAGTAGCCATAATGAAGTGTC